CATTTACTGCTAAGTATTCAAGTTCTCCCAACTTTGGTCTTAGACTTCTAGGATTAGTATAAAAGCATGTATATTTTTTATTAGAGGTGCACTGATACATCGGTCCTATATCGGATTGACACCAATATAAAGAAAATCGTCTGTATTGGAAATTGGTCCAATGCAGCTGATAACTTTTATCCAATAAATGCATGTGTGCGCACCCAGCTGCAGCACAACAGGTAGGTGGCAAGGAGCTGAGCCGGCAGGAGTTGTGTGCAGCTAGTAAGTCTGTTGTGGTAGAAGGGGAGGGGGAAGGGAATGGGTGTGGGGGGGCAGGTCAAGGCCCCTGCAGTGAAGGAGGGAGTGAGGCTGGGGCTGATGTCCGGCGGGGCACGGGAAGGGAGGCGGGGTGGCTCCTGCTGCTGCACGCAGCTTGTCCGGTGCTCATCTTGGGGCTTCAGCCACTGCTCCCGCTGCTCGTCCAGGAGGGCATGGGTGGAGGGGGAATGTGTCCCCAAATCTGCCCAGCCAGGAAGAGCCTTGGCACAGCCCTGGCTCGAGCCTGCCCTGTGCACCCCTCCCGCCCCCCATGCCCTTCTGGGCAAGTGGTAGGAGCAGTGGTGGGAGCCACCAGACAAGCACTGGCACGCAGCAGCGAGAGCTGCGCCACCCCCCTGGATGAGCTGCAGCACCATCCTGCATCCGCCCCGGCCCCAGCCTGCCCTGTGCCATGCAGATTCGGGGGCGTACACGCCACCCCCTCCACCCCTCAACCCCTTCTCTCCCCACCTCCTTTTCCACCACAACAAACTTACCAGCTGGACACTTACCAGCCGGGCTGTGTATCAGAAATCGGATTGGTATCCTTAAAAATCAGCTATCAGTATTGGCCCGCAAAATCTCTGTTGGTGTACCCCTACTTTTTATTGTTGCCTGGTTGATTACTTCTGTGTGACAATTGACTCATTAAATGTATTTGCTTGTGCTTGTCTACACCCTGTTTCTTATCCCCATTTTTTATGGTTTCGCCCCATAGGATGTATCAGTCAGAATTGTGTGCTATTCTGCACCTGTCAGCTTTCTGTCCATTTTTAGTTTAAAAGCTGCTCTGCCATCTTTTTAATGTTATGTGGAGTTTGGTGCTATTTTGGCTTAGATGGAGAACCATCCCTTCTGTACAAGGTCTCCCTGTTCTGAAAGGTCCCCCAGTCCTAAACCCTTCCTCCCTATTTCTGTGAATTGTCATAGGGGGGCATAAATCTCAGCACTGTCGCACGTTTTGCTACAATGCTTGTTCCTTTTAACATGTGTTGTGAGTGTTAAAATCAGTCATAAAACCTACAGCAGTAGGTGGTTGATCAGCTTTGAGCTAAAATGCTTTAAACTTGGGCCCCTTCTACATGTTACAGGTGTTGTGCAATTAGCTGATTAATTGCACAATTACCTTGAGCCCAGCTACATGTGGGGAAAGTATTTATCACACCATAAAAAAGCTCCAGCCATCTATAAAGTTAGACCTAGAAAAATGTGTAGTAACTTTTATAGTTGGTTCCTATCATGCTTTAAGTTGCATTTGTAACAGGGTTTCACTTGCAGCTGATGGCACTCCCAGCTGAAGGGATGCATCATGCCCAGTTAGGGCTAGGAGTCCCACAAGTGACAGGATGCTCAGTCCCAGCAGCTGTGGATTTTGAGTCCTGACAGCATCCTGCCACTGCTGGGACCCAGAGATGCTGGGTCCCTGCAGCATGCCTCCTGGTGCCAGAGACCCAGCTGGGTCCCAACAGCCATGGGACTGTGCTCAGGGGATGCTTCAAAACCCTAGACCTGGATGAAACCCTCGGTGGTGAGAGATTGTGACAATATATATAAACTGCGCAATCATGGATGACTGGTGCCTTCTGAGTCGGGGGGGACACACACACCAGATTGCTGATGGGGGGGGAGGTCCCCCAGCAGCCGATTGCTGAGTCAGTGGTGGAACCAGAAGTGCACTTTCGATGGCACTTCCAGTTTTGCAGCTGGTGCTTCTAGGGAGTGCACGGCTGATCTCAGGGGGGTGCATGTGCATCCACGTGCACCCCCTATGCGTTGCCAATGTGCGCAATTGTGTGGATCATACATTAGATCCCATTGTACCTTTATCTGCATGTGCAGAGGGGGCCTTGCTCCTATATACAAGAAGGGCTGAACCAGCAGCTCCCCCTAGTAAAAATGTAACTCTCGCTAGCAAAAGAATCTTAAATCTTCATAAATCTGTTTGCAGAACGGAACAAGCTGTATCAAAAGGCCTTTTCGCTGGTATACCTGCATCTGCGTTAAGGTTTTTGCAACCATTGTGATTTCAGTTAGGGACAGAAACAAATCATGCTCCTAAAAAATGTCCTTATTTTGGTAAAATTTGTAAGCGTAGCCCTGGGCTAATTGGATGAAACTCAGGACCAGCTGAAGGCCCATTCACCATTTAAACTCTATGCCAATGTCCAGACATGCATGGATGTTTGGTTCCCTGGGGACAACTAGCAGCGGTGCACCTTGTGCCACTGCTAGTTGTCCCTGGGGAACGCAAGTTGCCTTGGGTGGGGTAGGGGAGGCTGGGGCCAGCACTGGGCTGGCCCTAGCAGTCTTACTTGGGGTCTTGGGGGCTCCTGGGGCTTCAGCAGCAGCAATCCTCTGCTTTTTTTTCTCCATGGGTTTCTGGATATCCAGAGGCCAAAAAACCCACTGTGTTGCTCTCTTGCAGCATGGAGAACAATGGAGTATGTGGTCTGTGGTGCCACATACCACATGGCCATGCTTATCTGAATGTGGCCTAGTTGAGCTTTATTTAAGCCTGAGTTCTCACAAAAAAAATTCATTCTGATCAAAATGGTCAGTTTGACTAAGAAAAACTCAATTTAATAGTGTTAGGAATATGAAAAAAATGGTTTGGGGTTTTTTTCAGGGAGCTGATAAAAGGGAAGAATTCATAGGAATCTCAAGGTTATTTTGTTGTTTTGTTTTGTTTTTTAATTTCCCACAGAAAAAAAATATTTTTTTGGCCATCTATAGCTTCACCTCAACAATGAAGTGCTTGTGATAAAGCTGTATTGTTGTTTTACAAAATGTGTATCATGCAATTATAAAAATATAGGTCTGGAGATCATCTAGTTCAGTCCCATGCTTTGAGGCAAAATCAAGAATCTGAGGGGTTATAATGCACCTCAAGTTGAATCTGAATCAACAGCATGTTTCTGTGGCAAAACCAAAAAAGCCGATAGATACTGGAGTCATTCTTCCACTATTCAGCGCTGCTGTGGCTTTACCTAGGGCAGGGGTTTTCAACCAGGGGTATACATACCCCTGGGGGTACTTGGGATGGCCTTAGGGGGCACTCAGGGGACTCCTGCCTTCTTGACTGGCTGCTGGGGGGACACTGACCCAAAAAGGTTGAAAACCCCTGACCTAGGGTTTTGGTCACTGCATCCAGTTTTGGTCACTGTATTTCAAGAAAGACATGAAGAAAAGAGCCCAAAGAGGACACCAACGATTAGAGGTCTAGGAAACATGTATGAGAAAAGATTGGAAGA